TTGCCGGCTGGGCTTAAACCACGACAGATTCCATGGCTGTGAGTTTTAAGGAATAGACACATGATCTAAAACAAAAACATACCACCAGTTAATGAGTGAGTGCCTGCCAGCTGAGCTATGACAAACTGCTGTGCATCCAAGTTTTGAAGTAAAACATTTGAAAATGGTATAAAATTAATATGTTGGGTTGCATCACTTTCTCACTTTGGTTTGCTTTACAGTTCTTTACAGGCCATATCCGTAGTTCCTGAAAAGTCAGTTGATACCTGTAACCTTATTACATTTGGTTTTCATCCCCTGTTTTAATCTTCATAACCCATATGTACCATAGTGGTACTTTGCTTTTCAAAATAAAGTTGTTTAGCTTGGCTTTTAGTGTGCACAGTTCATAAAACTTTTAAATCTTTAAAAATCGATAAGTATGTGTTTAAAGTTGATTACCGATGCGATCAGAACAGCATTATCCAAGTATTTGACTCTCTAAGGCAGTGGGTTTAGTGAGTTCTCAGCAATACAAGAGCTGTGAAATAAGTTCTCTGCAGTTTATTAGACTGACTGTTGAGTGCTTTGGAAAGTACTTGTTACTTCTGTCACTTCCATTTTGTTAAATGTACAAATAGACGTCTGCTTTTCTTTTTGCCTTTGCAGCACAGCTAATGCACCAGAGGATGATGCTCCAAATAGATATTCCCGAACAGACAGGACAACTTACAACAGATACAACAGGGATACAAATTCTTCTGGCAGTTCCATACCAAGTAACGCTTTGGAAAAGAGGATTGAGGAACTTGAAAGGGTAAGTAACAACTAACATCTGCATGGCATGCATACATCTGAAATTAAGTACCTTTGAAACTCTATGGGGAAATTTACAAGTCAAATAATACAGGAATTATTCTAAATGCTTGGTGAACAGATAGTTATGGCTATAAAAATGTATAGAGTCAGACTGACTAAGAAGAATGTGAACTTTCTAATCACAGATGCTTAGTTTTTATTTGGTATATAAGTAAGAAATAGCTAAGGTAAAGATAATATGCTTTGAGAGCCAGCAGCACTCTGTATTTCTCCTATGTACCTTGTGATGCACCAGCACAGGGCAAATAACTTGGGGGAAGGAGGAGCTCACTAGCTGTTCAGAAATTTAGCAAGCATGTTTCTGATCTACTTGTTTTGGATTTTTTAATATACTGAATATTATAAAATCTAATTGCTGTCCAGTTGTTTGTTAAAGTTTTAAACATTTAAAGTATGTATTTAAAAATTTTATTTCAAAAATTCTTCATACAAACAATTATGGGAAAAATATAATGTTAAACGATTTTTTTCCATATAAACCAGTAGTTTTGCTAAATAATGTCATCTGTGTAATCTGTTACTGGTTTCTCAGTCTTCGTCTAAAGTGCATTTTTGTTGATAACTTGCCAAATATTCTTGAATTCGTATGGATGAAAGTCACTAAATAAGCATGATTTAAATAGCTCATTTTTGGAAAGGATGAAAACCAAGCATATTTTGTAGAAATTCCTTTGTTTTCTTTTTATTTTATTTTTTTTTTTAGTCTTGGAGAAGCCTGATTTAAGTGCCAGTAACACAGACAGTACAACCTTGATTTACTGAATTCTTAAGAGCCAATTTAATCTTTTCTCACATTTAGTCTTCCTTCCTTGTTAAGGGTAGCATTAAAAAAACCCAAGAAAACCCCAAAACCCCAAACCCAAACAACCAAGAGCCCAAACAAGCAACAACAAAAGACTAACCCTCCCAATATAACAAATTTGGAAGCTGATACTTTACATTTACTTCTGGTTTGGGCCCCTATCCATTTTGGGGTTCATGCTTAAGTTAAATGTTAATTAAAACGTTATCTCTGGAATCAGAGGTACCACACAGGTTTGCTGTGGGTAAAATATTTCTTGGACGCGATTGTTTAGTCCTTGAAATACAAGGGCTTGAAGATGTGGGTTTGACTTGTAGAAAAGGAATTATAGGTGAGTGTGTGTGTGTTTTTCTTCTTTGTTTTAAATGGTAATAACTTAAAACTGTCTCTTAACACCAAAAATTGCATTTCAAACTTCATTGCATATTCTGGTTTTAGGAACTTGCAAAGGAGAGACAGGAAAATGCGAGATTAGTGAAGATGACACAGGACAAAGAGGAACTAATTGGAAAGCTGAAGGAAGAAATTGATTTATTAAACAGGGTAAGCACATATTTTGTTATATGGTGCTATATAAAGAGGGGATAAAAATCTCTGCATTCTGGGTGCTCTTCAGGCACCTGCATCCACTGGGCAAGGTTAGAAGAGAATTAAGTATGTGTGGGGTTTATATTTGTGTAACTTTTCAAGAGGCATGTCAATAAGTTATATTTTTTCCAAGTTATTTCTGTTTGTTATGATTAATGTCCGTAAGTTAATCATGGAGAACCTGAATTTCTCGTTGCTGTAAGTGTTCATAGAACAAGGATATAAAAGCAGAAGTTCTTTACTGCCTCTTCTTTCCAAATTCAGTACATAGCATAGCAGGAAGTAATTAAGTTGGGGTTTTGACAGTTTTCTCAGTAAATTGTTATCCAGAACTTTTGTTAGACCAAGTAGTTACAGTTTTATTTTAGGCAGCTTTTAATTTCTAATAATAGCTTAGATGATGGTAGAAAGATTTGGGAGTAAGTGCTTTATATTATGACACATACTCTCATGCTCTTTATTGTTGATTCCCACATAAGCAGAACAAGACAGGGGCAGGACACTTGGCCTAGCATCACTCAGGTGAGGTGTGTAGGCAGAAGAAGAGAGGATAGAAGAGTGAGACATGTGGGAACGGGACAGGATGAGAAGTTTTAAAGTTGATAGAAGACAGCAATTTTAACAAGTCCCACTTATAAGCACAGACTGGAACTCTTCATAGAGTGGATTAGTCACCACATCTTGCACTTCCTGGCTGAGATGCAGAGCCAGGGTGTACTAGGGAAGTATGTCTCTTCTAGTTCAGTGCAGACTTTCCATAAAAACTCAGAAAAACCCCTCAGAACTTGCTTCAGACAGTCCAGCAGTGAATGGAGTCCCTAATTCTATGTGCATAGTGGTAAACTTCCATTTTGAGCTGTTCATTTGTAACAAGGGAGGACAGCATTCACAAGTTTGCAAATTAACCTCGAGAATGAAAGGAGATGAGATTATTCTGAAACAGGTTTGGTTTTTTCTTGTTGTTTTTTTTTTTTTTTTTTTTTTTTTTTAAATAAAATTGGAAGTTAATCTCTAGGATAAATGAAGTATTACCTGTTTTGGAGAGACTCCTACTTTGATAGAGAAATTGGTCTTTGCTGTTCCTCCATTCTGCAGAGACTGTCACATGTAAGCTGATGACCTTATTACAGTCACGGCAAGCGTTCATTTTTTTTTTTGGATGGCAAAGCTACTTAATACTGTTTGTCACACCTGACTTCCTGACTCGGAGGTCAGGAAGAACAAATTAAAAGAACCTAAGTCACAGAAAGCTTGTGGTTTAGGACCATGACTGTTTGCGAGGTTTGCTGTTCCAGAAACAAGGTTATTTTTCTTCTGCTATATTTGAAGTGTGATGTCCTAAATTAAATCCATTTAGTGTCTGACTAGAAACTGTCTTTGAGTATATGTAGTAAAGTCAAGCAGTGCTTGCAGCTTGTTCTGTGGAAAGAAAACATAAACCAGAATGTAGTACTTTCAAAAACCTCTTTAGTGTGCGAAGACTAAAATTGTACCTTTCCATGAGATCTACAAAGCCATTGTACTGGCCATCCCTAAGTAGCTTCTCTTAAACACACAAGAGAATTGATTTTGTGGTTTTTTTTTTTTTATTTCTCTGTCAGGTCAGCATTTATCATGGCTGTAACACTGTCTATTAGCTTAATTGCAGTGCAAGTTATTTATGCTTGCATCCCATGAGCTTTTCTTACGAACTGACTGAAACTCCTAGGAAGAGCATTTATTTAAGTATGAGGACTGAGCAGTCAGAAAGCTTTGCAATGAAATGGCATTTTAAGTTCATAACCATGGGTGCATCCTTGATCAGCAAAGATCTTGTGTCACATTTGAAAAACTTTTTCCAAGAATCCTGGAAACTTCTTGGCAGACTTTTTCCCAATTTAACTAAACATATTTATTTAATGTAACAATACAATTTTACTGAGATCGGTCCATACTTTAAAGAACATGAGCTGCATTTATGCTGAGAAACAGAAGAGGCTTTCTGCCATAAATGGCATTCTTTCACTGCAGTACATTAGCCAATAAAAGTATGTCTGCCACGTTTTCGTAAGAAAGGGGTAATTGCTTCATAAAAACCTCAAGTGTCTGAAGGGAAAAGCATCTCAAGATATTTAAATATTTGTAGGCTAAGTTCAACTGTTGAATAGTTTACATTGGGTCATCTCTGACCTCACTAAGATGTCACTGTAGTTAAATGTGTGTTTGGAGAGAGTCTGTCAGTGAGGATTTACAATCCAATTAGTATCCATTGTGTAGTTATTGGTTCCTTTGGTATGTGAAGTCCAAGCTTTCCTGCTATTGCATGTTTTTACTAATAAGCATAAATTAGTGTTGTACTTTTGAATAAGAAGCTTTAAATTGCAGAATGGCAAAAAACACCTGCATTTCTCAGTCCACTGTTTCTGTAGATATTTAAACTGCAATAGTTATTTTTCCTGGCTCATATTCAATAAGCTGTTATTTGTAGTAATCTTTGGAATGTTACTTTTGTAGCATAAACATTTCACAAACTTTTAATATCTTATTTTGTGTAAATTACAGATATTTTAAGTGGAAGAGTTTTAGGGAAGCTTTAATTGAGGCATCTGATGACTAGATTAATAAGTTCAAACACAGTATTATGTTTACTGAACTAAAAAAGTATTATTTTATTGAAAATGTGTTGTCCCATCTGATGGTTAACCTGAACTGCAAAGAGAGAAAATAATGTGTTTCTTACATGGTAAACTGTGTTTTTAGTAGCTATCAATTAACACTTTCCACATTCAGATGTTCAGTCAATTGTATCTGTGGTCAAATGCTTTTCCCTGTAGTCATTCATACTGTGATGCAGTGTGAGGCAAAAAGGAAGTTCTGCTAGGGATTTCTTGATTCCACGTTGCAAAAATAGTAAAGTAATAGCAAAGGTATTGTGGTATGGATTTTGGCTTGGCAGACTGAAAACGCCTTTAAAACCCATTATTAGTGATTAAACACAACTTCTCTAGCATGCCCTTTTGGAATGACCCCACTAAAATAAGAAAATAGGCTATCTCAAACACTGTTTAACAACTTAAAGGAACAACAGAGAAAATCTTTTCTCTACTGCTGTTTTATGTTTAATCTGCCATGGCAGCAGTAGAGTTTTGCAGACTTAAATCAAAAGGCATCTGAGTTATCTAATGAGACTCTTGAATCTTCTTCCTTTGCCCACCTTTTAATTTCCTCCTTAAAGTGTTGTCCTTGAGGTCACTCTTCTGTTTCCTCATTCTTCTGTTCTCACTCTGTTTCTTCCATGTTTTGTTTTGTTTTTTAATTACTGTTACTTAAGTAACACTTAGCATTAAACAGACATTTTCACTTTAAATGCTTGAAAAGACTTGGTAGGAAGTAAAGAAACGAAATGAGTTGGGTAATATGGTAACTGGTAAAAGACGAATGAACATTTGGGGTAGGAGCAGTCTATTTTAAATACCCATTATTACTGTGTATGATGTCTCTTCTTTCAGTAGCAGTTTAGACAGAAGATACAAAATGCCTTTTAATTTTTTCACAGAAAAAGAAAAAAATACTTTCAGACAGTACTTTTTCTGAAAATTTGATAATTTAAAGCACCGAGCAGGTCTTCTTGCAATAATAAACAGTGATGTGTGTATGTGAGCAGGATAGTTGCAGACAAGCAGTATGGGGAGCAGAGGCAATAGCTGACTAATATGCTTTATATATGACAATAAAATAAGCACGCCTATCCTATTTTTGTTACTTGATGCATTAATTCCTGTTTGCTGTAGCTTTAGTTTCGATTATATGCTTCCATTTAAAGGTGCTTGTACGTAGGAATAGAATGTTAATGTTTTGTAATCACAGTAACAAGGCTGGTTTAACAGATTTAAGGATATCTACTGTGACACTAATTCTTCCCAACCCCAGTTTCTTCATTACAGAGCTAAGATGCTAAATTCCTGATGCTACTAATTGAGAGTTTGTATTTACATCCTTAGAAAATGTTTAGTTTTCTTTTTCCTTTCACAGGACCTAGATGATATAGAAGATGAAAATGAACAATTGAAGCAAGAAAATAAAACCCTCTTAAAAGTTGTTGGACAGCTGACAAGGTAGAAGATTCAAGCCTCAATGAGGAAAGATTTAAAAACTACTGATTGAACATTAAGGTCAATATAGTAATAATTCCTGTGTTGCAGTATGTTACAATAACTGT